CACTATACATCTAGTATATATATATATAAATGGATGACAATGCATCAGGCTGCCACAAAAGGAGTTGAAACATTCGTATGAGTATGCAAAATGGGTGGAAAGGAAAAAAAAATAAAAAAAGGGTAGAAAAATGAGGGCCAAAATGGGAGAGGCAACTCCATTCGAGTGCCTGTTACCATTGTTGGTTCAATGGCTCAAAATGGATAGATAATAACTTGTGAAAATAACTTTTGCACTTGAACGAGATTTGAAATGGGGGGAATGGGGAATGGGGAGCACTCGACAGATACAAAGATACATCCGTACTGCATCGTAGATGTACATACATATGTGTTTACTGTCAAAATCATGGTCCATGGTCCATATTCGACACTGAAATTTCTGACAGATGCGAGTGCATCAAGTTCAGTTTGTGGTGAGGGGATGGAGTGCCTGGAAGTTGGAGGCCCAGTCAGTGTCAGTGGCGCTGGTGAAGGGGGCCTTTTGGTGGGAGTGTGAACTGCAATCGCATTGATTGTTGTTGCTTGAAATGAAATCGTTTCAATTGTCGCTTCAAGTGTCATTGAACGTTTGGGTGGTATGATGTTGATATTGGAAAAGGTGGTGGGGGGGTAAATGAGAAGAAAAACTCTAAAAAGAGTACACTTGAAAAAAAATATATAAAACAAATAGCAAATATATTAAACAAATTAAACTATTGTATTGATTTATCGTCTTTGTTTCATCTCTAGTTAAGTGTTACCATCTTCTAGTTTGACACAGTTTTTATAACGGTTCATCATCTCTTGAGAGATCTTTGATCTTTTTAACAGTGCAATTGCAAAAAGACACTTGAAATTCAATGCGCTTGGCATTTCTTTCTCATTGGATCTATGGTATATCTATCGTATATCGATATCCCATAAAAACAATAACATGTACCCCCCTCTTCCGTTCCACTTTCAAAAAATTGTGAAACTTCATCGCCTTCGAAACCACGTATATGTAATTGTTAATTGAAAAAGTCAACAATAACAATTCGTTACCTTTATAACATATATTTTCCATTTTCAATCTTGAGCCCATCCATCCATCCCAACCCTGCCTCCAATAACTTCACACTCTCGATCACTTTTACTGTCATTCAGTCACAATTCACACTTTAAATGGAAAAACTAATAAATAAATAAAAAAAACAAAAACAAAAAAGTATCTGTAAGGTGAGGAGTGTGGAATTCATTAGCTTGAAGAACCCAACTTGGCAACTTGGCAACTTGAGGAGCTAATAATAAAAACAAACAAATATGAAGTAATAATTCTATAAATTCATAGACTCATTGCCGTCTAAAGAAAATTTATTTTTAGATAGTTGTAGTTGATAGTTGAGGAATATGCAATAAATTCAATAAATCATTAAAGATATTTAGTCATAAATTCATCAGAAATGAATCAATTTCTAGTCTAGTTTAGATATTGAAGAAAGATAAGTATGTATAAGGTCATATAACACTCTATATATTGCCAAGCAGATAAGAACTAATATTTTTTATTGTTCGATATCGTAAAATATAGTTAGATAAGGAACGAGTTTTTGCACGTAACTCACGGGTAGTACTTCTCCACAATATTGCACATTTGGTGACAATATATGTATATATATATTGCGATTGAAAATAATGCCAGAGGAGATTGTATTTGGAGAATGGGACAGGCCTTATATGCGAATCGATGCCGCATGCGACGCATCCTATCCTACTATATGTTGTATTGTGCGATTGTTGGCTGATTTTTTAATTAAATTCACTTTCAAAAATACCGCTAATCATTCGAACAAAAGGCCAGCGCAGTGAACATATTTGCATATTTGTTTGTCTCGAAAGTTGGCGACTTAACTTTTGCCTCTTCACTTTTTTTAAATCTTGAATCTGTTTTTTTTTTACTTTTTTGTGTTTGTGTTTTTCCTACCCACAGCTTCAAGCTCCAAGGGGGGCGTGGCATGTGAATAGCTTGAGATTGATCGATCTAGGCAATATACAAATATATTTATGCATATATATCTTGTATACTATATTATTTTTTCGCAAGTGCGAAAGTGAAATCTATGGGATGAGATGGGGATTTGCCCACCCCCCAGGGCTAACAGAAAACCCACGAAAAAAAAAAAAACAAATCCGCCATCAATGGTTACCAAATTAGCCAACAAACATACCAATCGCATGTAGTATGGGATTTTCTACTATTCGATTTTTCGATTCGAGTACTACTTGTTGGATCCCCAAAATCCGTTGCTGATCATTTTCGGCTAACATACTTACAACCAACAAAAAAAAACACGTAAGTTGTGCCTTAATTAAGACCAGCCTCATCGGAATTGAGTGTCTGTTACGTAAGTAGTTAAAACAGCCGGACCAAAATCACTGAATCGCGCGAATTAAATACACCACAACAACAAAAAACAACAAATATAAAAAATAAAAAAAAAATAACAGCACACACAGAGGGAAACATTTAAGAAACACATATCGAAATCCGAATGAACAACGAATGCGAATGGGATTTCTTCGATTTCTTAAGCTTTTTTGTTCCCACTCTCTCACCATTGAATTTTTTCTTATTTTTTTTTTTCCTTCATTAATACCAACGATCGGTCTTACCAGATTAGCACCTTGGCCTAATTATGCAGATTTCGGTAGTGGGCTGCTGTTTATTTAACTCGGGCCATTTAAATTCTTGACAAGATTTTGAGTTTGCAGGAAACTGTTTCACGATTGCCTAGAATTTTATGTTTTTGTATCTCTAACTTAACGATTAAACTTAAACGATTTCCATATCGATTCTCCACTAATCTGCATCAAAACCCTGCATCAAAATATTTTTTAGATTTTTTTCCATTTTTTCTAGGGGTACCCCTGCAAAATCCACGATTTCCATACGTGGCCCACTCCCATAGCTATATCTCTGCCAATTCTTATCCGATTCTCAAGCGGGGTACCTCAAACGATTTGTGGATCGATTCTCCACTAATCTGCATCAAAACCCTGCATCAAAATAATTTTTCAGATTTTTTTCCATTTTTTCTAGGGGTACCCCTGCGAAATTCACGATTTCCATACATAGCCCACTCCTATAGCTATATCTTTGCCAATTCTTATCGGATTCTCAAGCGGGGTACCTTAAACGATTTGTGGATCGATTCTCCATCGATCTGCATCAAAACCCTACAACAAAATATTTTTCAGATTTTTTTCCATTTTTTCTAGGGGTATCCCTGCAAAATCCACGATTTCCGTACGTGGCCCACTCCCATAGCTATATCTCTGCCAATTCTCATCCGATTCTCAAGCGGGGTACCTTAAACGATTTGTAGATCGATTCTCCATCAATCTGCATCAAAATCCCGCAACAAAATATTTTTCAGATTTTTTTCCATTTTTTCTAGGGGTACCCCTGCAAAATCCACGATTTCCATACATAGCCCAGACTCATAGCTATATCTCTGCCAATTCTCATCCGATTCTCAAGCGGGGTACCTTAAACGATTTGTGGATCGATTCTCCATCGATCTGCATCAAAACCCTGCAACAAAATATTTTTCAGATTTTTTTTCCATTTTTTCTAGGGGTACCCCTGCGAAATCCACGTTTTCCATACATAGCCCAGACTCATAGCTATATCTCTGCCAATTCTCATCCGATTCTCAAGCGGGGTACCTTAAACGATTTGTGGATCGACTCCCCATCAATCTGCATCAAAACCCAGCAACAAAATATTTTTCAGATTTTTTTCCATTTTTTCTAGGGGTACCCCTGCAAAATCCACGATTTCCATACATAGCCCAGACTCATAGCTATATCTCTGCCAATTCTTATCCGATTCTCAAGCGGGGTACCTTAAACGATTTGTAGATCGATTCTCCATCAATCTGCATCAAAACCCTGCAACAAAATATTTTTAAGATTTTTTTCCATTTTTTCTAGGGGTACCCCTGCAAAATCCACGATTTCCGTACGTGGCCCACTCCCATAGCTATATCTCTGCCAATTCTCATCCGATCCCCAAGCGGGGTACCTTAAACGATTTGTGGATCGATTCTCCACCAATCTGCTTTAAAATATTTATTACAAAAGTTCCACTTGCATTTCTGATACTATTCCTTCACAAGTCCCTTCAAAAACTTCCATTCCGAATATTTTCCATAAATATGTTGAACTTCCTCATCGGTGGGGCTTTGATGAGTCAAAACCTGTTCGAGGGGCCACGCCTCCAGCCACCTGCCGACTGGCACCTGCCTCAAGGTCGAATCCTTTTCGATAATTCGATAAACGCTTTGATAAGCCGTGAAGTTTATGAGTGGCCTTGGAGTCCAGGTAAACGTTAATCGCCTTAAAAACTAAAAAAAAAAAACGAAGATCCGCCTCTTTTGGCGCTGAAGTTCACAGTTCAATTGGGTTTACCGCTAATTAGTCCCCAGGTGATTAAGTCAAGAAACCCTCAAAATGGTGGGGAGGGGGGATTTGCTGCAACTTTGTTTCATTATTATTATTTTTTTTACGCTTTGCTGCGAAGCGAGTCTGCGAGGCTTTTTCAAGTAAACCGACCATAACTACTAGGCCGCGAGTCACTTTTATGTTTTATTTATTGATTTTATTTGTTTAAGTTTTGTTGCTGGCGGCAGCTTGTTGTTGCGATTGTTGTTGTTGTGTTGCCACTGTTGCGGTTTTGTGTCCCATAATTATGTCAGCTGCAGTGGCACAATCATAAATTTTAGCGCTTTTTTGTTTTTGGTTTTTTGGTTTTTTCTGCAGCCATTCGACGCCGGCTAGAGGGTGAAATATTTTGTGTAAAAATTTTTCATAAAATTTATTATCCACTTGCTGGCAATTTGATTGCATATCATCAATCAGCTAACTTACGGAAATTCTTTAAATGTGGACAGTAGTCCAACTAAGTTTTAAACTACACTGTATAGTAGAAAAAATTCAATCTTTATAACACAATATTTGTTTTCTTTTTATTTTCAGAAGTTGACTATTTCGAACCAAACCGAAAATTAAATCCGAACCAGACGCGATGAGCTGCAAGCCAAATTCTAACGAAAAACCTACGAAACTTTACTAAGCTCTCCTCCAAAAAGATAACATACTTCAAAAAAAATTATAAACTTAATAAATTCCAAATCGAAACAAGAAATATATAAAAAAAAAACCCAATAAAGTTTTGAAAAGAAAATCCAACAAGATGGCCATGTTGGAGGCGAGGCCTTATAGGCCATTTAAATCCAGCGAAGAGTATCTGGAGGCGATGAAGGAAGATTTGGCCGAATGGCTGAGTACCCTATACCCCGAGCTGATGATAAATGCTGAGAACTTTATGGATCGACTCGACACTGGCGTGGCATTGTGCAAGGTAAGCCACCGGCTCTTTTAAATAAAAAAACCTCACTTTATACATTTCTTTCTGATACTTTGGCTGGGAAAGTGCTAAGAGCTTTAGAGCCTCTACTTTGATGGCTAAAAGGCTTCCCTTACCTCTTATTTCCCTACCTCTTATTTGTTTTTTTTTAAAAGAAACTGGGTCATTTCCATAGCGGGGTTGGGTTCATTGCTCAGGTGAAATGCATTCATAACTTAAATGAGGATACTAATGCATTTTTTTCTAAAGGTTTGGAGTGGGAATCCTTTGAAACAGGCTTCTTTTTGGTAGAATATCTATTAATGAATTAATTTTAGGCTTTAGAAATATTAAGTGAAAAACTTTTGTAACAAGTGTGCTGAGGCAAAATAATGTCAAACCGAATTTTGAGATTCGTAACGAAGTCACCCAAACCACGTCAGTCTCATTCTGATTCAGATTTGACTAACATTTATATTTTTTACTATATATATATTGATATTAGATACAACAACAAACACGCGAGTGCCATAGACATTTCTTTTTAGCCACTCTACCAGTCCAATCCTTAGCGACAATCTGCGATGACTACCCCTCAGAAGAAACCCATTGTTAAGCCTGAGAAGGAATTCAAAGACGTGGATGGTGATGGTGGGAAATTATCGACACGAAAAGTGGAGAACAATAAGCCCTCCTCTTCACAGGCTACTAAAACTCCCAAAAAAAAAAGGACTCCCCCTTGGAAGAAACCCATCGTGAAGTCGCAGGCCGATTCTTTCCAAGTTGACATCTATCAAGTACCAAAAGGTATGAAGTTTGCAGAGGAATCATTAAAAATCGGAAACCCAGATCATAAAACGGAACGAGTGAGGTATAGCAGTCCTGAGGGACCAATAAAGTCTGAGAAACCAAAGCAAATGGATAAAACTTTAAAAGAAGAGAAAGATAAACCTGATACGGAGAGCAACCCAAAGAAGGTAGAAACTGTCGCCACTCCGAAGAATGAGGCCGATTCTTTCCAAGATGTCATCTATCAAGTACCAATAGGTATGAATTTTGCTTCCCTTGAAGAAGAATTGCTGTACTTTCAGGGTAAAACCGCTGAGGAATCATTAAAGAGCGGAAACCCAGATCATAAAACGGAACGAGTGAGGTATAGCAGTCCGGAAGGGTCAATAAAGTCTGGCAATGTTAAGCATAAAATGGATCCAGTGAGTCTTAGCAGTCCTGAGGGAAAACCCAAGCAAATGGATAAAACTTTAAAGGAAGAGAAAGATAAACCTGATACGGAGAGCAACCCGTCGCCGACGAAGGTAGAAACGGTCGCCACTCGGAAGAATGAGGCCGATTCTTTCCAAGATGACATCTATCAAGTACCAATAGGTATGAATTTTGCTTCCCTTGAAGAAGAATTGCTGTACTTTAAGGGAAAAAATGCTGAGGGAAACCCAGATCATAAAACGGAACGAGTGAGGTATAGCAGTCCGGAAGGGTCGATAAAGTCTGGCAATGTTAAGCATAAAATGGAACCAGTGAGTCTTAGCAGTCCTGAGGGAAAACCCAAGCAAATGGATAAAACTTTAAAAGAAGAGAAAGATAAACCTGATACGGAGAGCAACTCAAAGAAGGTAGAAACTGTCGCCACTCCGAAGAATGAGACCGATTCTTTCCAAGATGACATCTATCAAGTACCAATAGGTATGAATTTTGCTTCCCTTGAAGAAGAATTGCTGTACTTTCAGGGTAAAAATGCTGCGGGAAACCCAGATCATAAAACGGAACGAGTGAGGTTTAGCAGTCCGGAAGGGTCGATAAAGTCTGGAAATTTTAAGAATAAAATGGAACCAGTGAGGCTTAGCAGTCCTGAGGGAAAACCCAAGCAAATGGACAAAGCTTTAAAAGAAGACAAAGATAAACCTGGTACGGAGAGCAACCCGTCGCCAACGAAGGTAGAAACGGTCGCCACTCGGAAGAATGAGGCACCAGATCCACGTAAAGATACCAGCCCGGCGAAACCCAATTTTTGGATAAACCTTGGCGCCGGTGATGCTAACGATGAATGTCAAATGGTTCCTGGCTTTGGACCTTCAAAGGAGTTGGTGCGGAATAGTAGTCCTGAACCATCACTGCCCGTGCAGAAGACCGATGTGGCCCCGCCGCCGGAAGAACAGCAAAAAGTCTCAAAAGAGGAAGACAAACCAGTGGTCGAGGAAGCTCAAGCACCCAAAGTGGAAACACAACCACCAGAACCTCGTAAAGAAACCATCTTCAATAATGCACGGATGACGGATTTTTTGGATCTCACGATAAACCAACTCCTGCCTGAGAAGGAGTATTCTTCACGAGTCAAGTATCTCGAGGACCTCATGAAGCTGGATGTCACCAAAATAAAGCCTGAGCAACTCATCAAAGTTGCTCATCAAAAGTCAAAGAAATTAAAAGAGAAAAAAGTGAGCAGTATCCAGAACTCTATAAACCTTATCTTCATAAATAATTCTTCGAATATAGGATTAAACATAATGGCCAATATAAGTGGTATTCCAGGGTTTAAAACCAGAAAAAGTGATAGTGAGACTCCATAGACTCCATAGTTAAGTAAGTAATCCATATCTTTAATATATAACCCCTCAGTCTAATGGTTTTCATATGTCCCCAGATTATGACTACGTGTTAATAAAATTTTAATTGTTTATGAGCATTCAAAAAATTTACTGAGTTTTTTTTATGTAAAGTGGAGAAAAGTAGTGGAATTAAAAAAAAAAAGAGAGCCCTTCTACACGCTTCTCATAAAGTTTACTTGATGAACCTTCGAAAAATGCAATGCTATAATCTATAATATTATTACTATTTTTAATATTTTAGATTTTTTTTTTGATTTCTTATTCAATTCCTAAGAACAACTAATTCTGGTCTCTGCTTTTGTGCTTTTGGCCAGATTGTTGTTTTGGTCGGATGGCATGTGCCATAACCGCAGTCCTCCCCCTTTTGGCCACGCCTCCTCACCTTACCTGAGTGTCTTGGCCCTCTTTTTTTTTTTTTTCTTTTTTCTTTCTTTTTTCTGTTTGGCTGTTAGTTGGCTTTGTTGTTGTTGTTGTTGCTTTTAGTGGCGCCAGTAGCACCCGACATCGTCACGCTGGAGGCCAATAGCAAGACCTCAACCCGTAGACAATTTGTCTTGACTTGTTGTTGCTGTATGGCTGCTGCTGTTGGTGGTTTTTCTTCTGTTTTTTTTTTTTTTTGGATTCGTATCGGCAACAAGATCTCCTGCTGCGTCTCCGCATTGTTGTTGCAATTGCTGTTGCAGTTGCAGTTGCATTCAGAGTTGTTGATGCCGCCGCCGCCTCGATGGTTGTTTTTCTTTCATTTTTTTTTTGCCACAGAATCCAAAGCCAACTTAGTTTTGTGGCCGCCAAGTACATTGGAACTCGATTGGGTTCTTTAGGTGTTGATTAATACTATGGACCATGATTAGAGCCACAAAAAAATACCAAAATCACTCCAAAATGTTGACTTTTAATAACCAAAAGTTGCAGTGTCATAGTCCTAGTTATAATTTTAATAAGACCCTTTAGTCTTAGTACCGGGTATTTATTTTGAAACTAAACCACTGTAGCCACACACAGCGCTGTAGCCTCACCTGTACAGTGAAACACCTAAACCCCCTCCGCCGACTCCCTCTCAGGCCGCCGATATATTTTCCGAAAAAAAAATAACTCCGCCCCGGGCTGGGTAGTCGTACTCCTTGGATCCGTACTCGATATGGTGATGGATATGCGTGCAGCATGATCATGAAGTCGCTTTGATCTTCTGTCTGCACTGTCTCGAAATAAATGAAATGACTCAGACACGGGCATAAATTTTGCAAAAATTTTTGAAAAAACAACAACAACAAAAATCGAGTGCCGGAAATGTCATAAGCGCATAAATATAATTTTTTGATAATTGTATGCGTTGCGAAGCGTTAATGGAACTTTAATTGAAACTCCTTCCAAAATCATAGAAATAAAACCGAAATGTTGCAACCAAAACAAATCTTTTTAAATAGCCAAAGATTCTTGGAGGGGAAAAACTGTTGATGTCTTCATCTCATGGTTGTTTTTATTTTTTTGTTTTTTATGGCAATTATGACTGAAAACAGCAAAAGGGGTGGCCAATTAGCCAAAGGAGATCGTTAGCTGTCTGGCGATCATTAGCGAATTGTCTTAACGATCTGTACAGCCAATTGCTAGCCAATTTATCTAGTTAATTATACGGATTTTCTATAGTTAGAACTCTATAGTTTTGGCGGCATTTCGTGGGCAACTTTGTTGCCGAAGAAACTTTGTTTCCCCTTCCGTTTGGCTAATTGAATTTTTTTGATAAAAAGCCAGCATATAAAATTGGTAAAAAAATATCCAAAAGATAACTAAAGTTTATATGTATATAATGATTAGGCAATAACTTTTTTTGTTTCCAAACCGATAAAGTTGCAACAATCGTAAGTGTTGGAAGTTGGAAAATACCACCTATGGCGGGCTCCCTTTTAAAACGTTTACCAACACTGATTAGCTGCCAGTAAGCGTTGCTGTCAAGTTAGTGCATAAATTTTTATTCAACCGAAAAGACCTGAAAAGTGCAAGCTTAACCAGAAAAGAAAAAAAAAACAATTTGCAAGAAAAGATGGGAAAAAGCCGAGAAAAGTATCCGACTCATCGTCCGCCAATAAAAGATTCGCGGGATGAAGCTGATTCTCGTAAAAACCGCGAAAAGGCAAAGGAACGAGAAATGCGTTTGAAACGTTCCAGCAGCGAAGATACTAGCTCGAAAGTTGTGCCGCCGAGGTCCCTAACACCGCCATTGAACAAAATTCTGGAGAAAACCAAGTCCGCATCCAATTCGGTGTCCAGTTCGAGTGAGGGGCGTCGTTCCACTACGGCAGACGATTCCGAGTCAAGTTCCGGGAATAGCGATAGACGCAAGTATCTCTTTAAATCAAAAACCAAAGAGGGTAGTAACAGGTGCGTCTAGAGGGCTTT